TTCATTTATTGAAGTTTAACTTTATTTCCACTCGTCAATATTCTTATCTAAACATGCTACAGACGATCGATGTTCCATGCTCCCCGTGCCGGTGTTCCGCTATATTCCTGGGTCGTCCACGGATTTGTCGGCGGAAAATTCAAATAAAGTACGCACCGCGACTTTGGCGACGGCCCGCGAGACACTTCTGGGATTTTGAAAAATGTAAAAAGTGCGTACTACTAGTATATTCGGGAATTTACGGCGTATTTCTTGTAATTCGGTACTACGCGACGCCATATTTTACAAAAGTTTTTCGGTGGCCCTCCCCCCGGGCCAATTTTGTTTTTCGATGGCCCTCCCCCCGGCTCAAATTTTTTTTCCATGGCCCTCCCCCCAGGCCAAAAAATTTTTCAATGGCCCTCCCCCCCCAGTGCACCAGCCCTCCCCCCCCCCGGTAAATATCGTACAGTCCCTAAACTGACTTTGCTGCTTTCCTGGCTTTGCCGCTAAATTCTGTGACGTCACAGCCCAAGAGAAAATGAAAGCATGCAAACGTAACCAATATAACATTTCAGCTATATGCATCCATTCAATATTCGCCATTTTAGTGAGGAGGTAAAAAGTCACAAACTATCTATATGTGTATCTTTTTATCTCTTTAGTTGTCTTACATTGCAAACATTTTAGCTTTACTATATTGTACTCTATTACGTGTTGCTGCGGTGCAGTCAAAGGTCAGGAAATCCACACGCGGGAATGCAGATTGGAGGACGGAGGGACGCTATAACGGTGAGGTTTGGCATCCAATTTCTGCGGTTTTTCACTCCCATGGATCAAAATTAAGACTGAACAAATTACTGAGTGTAATAATGAGGAGTTTAGGAGCCCCAAATCTGTTTTGTAATACCTTTCAAAACCCCACAAACAACTTGTTTGTGTGGTGACATTTGTTGCCCCCCGCCCCCTATGGGAATATGGTTACAGTGCAAAATTCCTTATTTACATACGGTGTCCTCACTTTCTCTTCGGTTTAAAGGTGTGAAAAGAGGGATTATGTAAAATAACTGGACAAACGATTTGAATTAGAAAAGGACCGATATAGCTGAGGCTCTTTTGATGTTTTTTTGTAGCCATGCTATGCATAATCATTTTCATGCTTTTCAGCCTCACCTCTAAATTTACATATTGTTTTTGTAACCCACTGAGTTTTCTGTCGGCTTTGGTGGCGTTCAAAATACATGTACCACACTTTGGTGAGAGACTGAAATCAGTACTCTTCACATTGGAGTCTTGGACTTTGCTGTAATTTCATCAACTTGAGTTTACAGTATTTACCATACAGGCTTTTATGCTTGGGTCAAGCAAGGAGGTTCAAATTATAGGACCTCATGTTTGGGTCAAGCTAAATCTCCAACTTATTAACAGATCTTACAGTGGCAAGGCTGCTTGGCCTATAATAATTTTTTTTTTTTTGGATACTGCCTTGCCACTGTAGGATTTTCTTCTAGATTACAAGTCAAGCAGGGAGGTTCATTCAACCTGGGGTCAGCGACCTACATAATAACAGTTCCTATACGACAACATATGGATATTCATAGACTTTGCAATTCCCAGTACCAAGATGTTGGAAAATTTGTCTACATTCCTAACCTACATAAACTAGAGTAGCTTTGTAGACTTTGTCTATGGTCTACATTAAACTTTGGTTTAAAAAAAAGGCAAATAGTTATGGAGAAAATTTGTAAATGCCATTAATATATTTTAAGTTCTTTTTTGTCTTCTCTCTGTAATGTTTGCCTAATATTTTGTATACTGCTGTTTGTTTGATTGCAATCCATCTGTACATGCAAATATGAGTCCAAAAAAATATTATTTATATCTTGACTCCACAGGATACTACGAGTACTAGGGATCCGTATATGACAAAATGAGTACGGTATCGTCGACCAAGTCCACCCTCCCCCCGGGTTGGGTGAAGTGTATGTCCAAGAGCCACCCAGGACACTGTTACTATTTCAACATGTCCACCAGAGCCAGGACCTGGCAGAGGCCAGTCCTGGACGAAGAAGAGGAGACAGCAAGCCCAGAAAAGGCTAAAACTGAAAAGAAGGCAAGTGTATTTGTAGTTTATTTGTTGTTGTGGTCTAAGCTTGTGGGCTCCAAGCAGAGGTTGTGGGGGAATGATCGTTAGCTTTTTATATATGGCCGTTTTTTGTTTTCGTTACCCCCTCTCGTCAGTGGCCGGCGACCTTCTATGGCTAATGGATACTGTCTTGCCAAGGAAAGGGATCTGCTTGGAGATTACATTAGGCCAATTATGAATTGTTGCCACTTGCCATGTGCATTGTACCTTGTACAACTGTTGAAGCTTTGAGCAATAAAGTTCATGAATTTTTTCATTCCTCAAGATGAAAGGGTCTTTGTTTCCTCCTCTCTTTCCAGATCCATCTGGGTCCAGTTTAGAATTTCCTGGCCGGTGGTCCCATTTCCTGCTAGTGTATCATTATACGTTTGGTCTCTTACATTCTTTCCTTTCTCAAATTCTTTTTAATATGCAGTACCTTGTGTCACCAAGCTGAAAGTAGATCATTATTGTGTTCTTGTAGGCCATTACTGCATTTTCTATAGAAGCCAAGGTACCAATCAGAAGGCGATGACCTTTTCCTTGAACCTCTGGCTAGTTTTTTTCCCTTTAGTTACACACTCACTCATACATTGTGTCGACAGGTCAAGGTATATCCTGTTTCACAGACTGATTAGACCTGTCACTATCAAGACTCTTTTCATTTCTGGATGTAGACAGCTGGAAGTCAGCACTACAGCTGATGTGATGAAAGCAGAAGGGTTTTATTTTTAGATAGGTACAAACTAGAATACTGTTTATCCTTATTGTGAAAATCTCTATTTGTTCCATGGAAGCAGATCACTCGTAAGAACCATGATTCTGGGGTGCACTCAGACAGGGAAGACAAGTCCCCGACAGATGATGCCAGAAGCTGTGTGTCCATGGCCAGCGCTTCAGAAAAGGTTTATTTTATTTTTATTTTTTTACTTCATACCTGTGTTGTGTTTCTTCTAGATTGATTTTGGATTAATGATAATGCTGATGTTTGTGGTTGCTTGAATACTTATTGTTGAATACACACAGCTCTTTTTGAAAATTTGATAGTAATGTCTCTACTTTTGTATGACACAGTATGCACTCAGACTGTAATAAACAATGTAAATTCATAGATACATGCAATTTTGTAATTTCAGGGGGTTTACTAAGTAAGATTTTGAAGATACTAAGTATGTTGGGACTGACAGAGTGGCTATTTTGGACGTTGATTGTACATAGTGTGTTTGTTTGAATTATCTTGATTTTTATTTAATCAACCCTTTGTTAAAATCAGAGCACAATTTAGGGATGCGTTAGCCAATCCCAGCTTTTGTACATTTTGTGGATAAATTAAATTGAAATTTGGGACCTGAGAGAATACATATTTTTTTTCCTAACATCCCCCCACAGGTGTCCCATTACTTCAGCTCCCTGTTGGACAACGACAAAACAGGACTGAGCAGCACATGCACACCGTCAGTGGCTCCATCAGAAAGGGGCCAGAAGCGCAAGGTGGATGATTCCGAGTTTAGCGACGACGCAAGCATGCTGTCCCTCAGTGCCTTCTCCTGGTCATCCTCACTGCTGTCACTCAAGAGCAGGAAGGATGCCCCTGCTGCCGAGAAGTGGAAACCCCTCCAGCAGGCTTCGACACAAAATGATGTCGATCACGGGCAGCCCAGTGAGACTGCAGCAGCAGTGGCAACTACGTCCACGGAACAACCAACAACCACAACTAGCCCCGGTGGGAAGAAGACCTCTACCATCACCAAGGGTCTGACTCTGAAGCCATTGCCACCAAAGACATCCGCTGCCAGTCGTTCTCCTAGATCTCCCAACCAGCCGCACACAGCTAACACTCCAGGTAGCCCTGCCCCTGTACAGAAGGAGAAACCACCCAATACTAGCAGTGCACCAGATGACAATGGTTTAGACCCTCTCCCTGACTATGATGAGGCTGAGGGGTACACTGCACCGTCCCCCAGCAACGCCAAACACAAGCGCATGAAGGCCTCCCTGCCTCCGCACGACCTCAGGAACAAGATCACAGGAGAGCCTGTGGAACTCGTGAAGCCAAAACGGCCGAAGTTCTGGAGAAATCCGTCCAGCTATGTGAGGAATAAGATGAGAGAAAGGGACCTGAGGGAGAAGATTACAGGTAAACCCATGCCCCCACCCATGGGGCCTCCACCCATGGGGCCTCCACCCACTGTTGATAACGGACAGTTCGCAAGACCGATGGCTCCGAGACAGGATGGCGTCTTCAAAGCGCCTTTCCCCGTGGCCCGTCGGCAGAACAAGCCCTACCACAGAAACCAGCCCTGGAGGGACCACAACGGGAACCACAACAGGCAGCAGAACTACTACAACCTGGGACAGGCGCCCATCTCGCTGCAAGTCACCATGCCGAACCGCACGGATGAGAACTGGGTGGACAGTCTCACCGTGTGTGAGAGCCCCAAGTTCAGGAGCGGGGACATGGACAAGGTGACGTGTACGGTGGACCAGCGGGACCACAGAAGCGTCGCTCTCCAAGGAGAGACAAACGCAGCCCTCGGCAGGGACACCAGCTTACCTCAGGAGAACTCTAACAGCCAGGAGAACCTGGATGACGTCGTAGAAATGGACATCGCGATGGACGTAGAGACGGAAGAAAGACTGATCAATGAGATCCAAGAAGTTCGCGGGCACCTCGCCACGGACGCATCGGCCAGCCACGGGACCCTGACCAGCATGCAGGTTGTACAGATAGAGTATATGGAGACAGAGACCACAGGGGTGCCCGGGGTAGAGGGGAACCTGCCTCTGTTTATTGTGCTGGACACAAATGTCCTGTTGAACCACCTGAAGTTTCTAGATGACCTGAAGGACCAACAGATCAGTGGGATGGGCAGACCGGTGCTTGTGGTGCCCTGGGTGGTCATGCAGGTGAGATATTTTACATATCGTTTACAGAAAACTTCTATTGATGAGATGTACAGCATTTAGATTATCTGACTCACTTGTGACAATGAAAATTTCCATAGATTTAAGACTTTTTATGAAAAGAAAAATAAAACTTTCTGAGTAACAATTTCAGTGTGTACTCCATGTAGTTTATTTGTTCCATCTACCACACTGTAAATGTAATGTATGGTCTGAATAGTACAATAGGGATAGATCATCTGAGAAATGTCCACATGTTTTCCTCTGTAGGAACTTGATGCCCTGAAGTCTCAGGACCTGCTGACCAGGCCAGGTCGTACCCTGAAGCTGGAGACTCAGCACCAGGCAGCTCAGGCTGTCAGGTACCTGTACAAGTGCCTACAGAACAGACACCCCAGGGTCAGGGGACAGACTGCACAGGAGGTGGGGCAATGGCTGGGGCCCAGTCTATCACATGTTATTATGTATTAATAGTACTAACTATTAGTATTACAGATGGTGATCTTGCTTAAAAAAAGGATTGAAAAAGTGGTTTTCTAATCAGCAAGCAGCATTTGTATGAAAGTATGTGTATTCCCTTTTTTTCTGGATTAGTATACACAGTTGTATGTAATTTTCTTGTTGAAAGTTTGCAGAGATTACTATTTTAGACAGACTATTTCAGTTTTTCACTTAACAAAAGGCAGTGTTACTTAATGCTTCAGCCTGCAATGGTAGCTATTTGGCACCAACTACTGTTTATTGACAACTTGGTTAGGCATCAGGCAGCAAGAAGAAGTTTAAGCTGTCCTTTGTAGAAAAGTAAGCCCTCCAGATATGTCAATGATGTAGTTACTAAAGCTGAAATGTCCTGAATGTATTTTTGTTTTGCAGGGCTCGGTGAAGCTGGTAGGTTTTAACCCTGAGTGCAATGATGACCGAGTGTTGCAGTGCTGCCTCATGTACAGTCAGAAGTTCTCAGGAGTCAACGTGATCCTGTTCACCAACGACAAGAACCTCTGTAACAAGGCCGTCATCAACGGTCTGCAGGCCTTCACACGGGAGAACCTCATGCCTGGGATCAAGGCTATGTACCCAGAGGATGGCGGCACACCAGCCATAGGTTTGCATAGTTCTGACTGGGCTTTTTGAGTGTAGGGACCCCCTATGCTGTGATTTGGACCCCTACACTGTGATTTAGTCCCCTACACTAGTGTTTTTGAACCAGCATAGGGGTGTTTTTTTGGGGGGGAGAACCTTGCTGTACCTGACCCCTACATTGTGAAAAAATCCTGGTGAGGACCCTAGATATAGATAGATAAGAATTTTGACTTCAGTTGTTACTTTGAAGCAGCTGCTATATGATATGATATGAATCTTTATTGCATCTATATTATATGAAGCATGGCTTGTGTCATCCTACCAAGTGCACAAATAGTCTTTCTGAAGTCATTAGGATTCATACAGATACAGAAGTACATTGTGGATTATTGTGAAATATGAAAACTTTAGTGAATTCAATTCTCTTAACTAAAGTAAACGTTCAGCTCAATTAAATCCCATTTATATTTCTTCAGATAAATCATAAATGTAATTAGAACAGTTTTTGTGTTGGAAAATTGTACTTTTCCTTTCTGTCAGTGGGACTACAGTAATACTTATATACACAGAAAACTATACACCATAACTTAATTCTTTTGTTTGTGCATAACAGCTACAGTTTCCAAGAACACCATGCCTGTACCAGTAAAAGCGGAACCCACTCACCCAGTGAGGAGTCCCTGTGTGTCTCCACCCCTGGGTCCCCCCATGAGAGCCTCCACCCCACCCATGCCTCCCCCAGGTCCAACCAGGGGGACAGATCCCACCAGCAGAAGGAAACAAATGGTAAACACAGATAGGAGCACATTTTAGCTGCAGGGATTTAATTTAATTTAAGATTCGAAATGGTTGCCTTTGCTAAGATACAGTTTTTGGTGTAATATGGCCACTGTCTTATTTTTTCCACAAGTTGTTAAATAACTATGTTGCTTTCTTTTCTTGTATTGTCTGTTTTCTTATAATGAAAAGCTACATTTGTGCGTATTAGTAATATTACCTTTTCACCTTTGATGCAAAATTATGACAGATACAAATGAGTGACTTAGGAAAACCCCAGTGTTTTATATGGTGTATTTTTGCCCCTCCCAGGCTGACGACGTGCTGTGTGGTATGAAGACACTACTGAAGGGTATCCTGGCTACTGTACTGGAGACTGAGATGAAAGAAGCGTATGAGGAGAAATGGTACAGACCACACTTATCAGTTTACCCTAATTCTTACATGTTATTACCTGTGCCTGTGGTCTGTTTTCGGTAGCGTTTGCCTGTTTTTGTGTCAACACAATATCTCAAGAAGGCTTTACTAAGTGACTTGTCTTCAAAATTGGTATGTGGGTACTAAAATGTTGGTAAGAGCTCAAAATGATTAGACAAAACTACTATTCAAGTTGGTTTGCAGCTTAAATGGGCATCCAGGGTTACCAGACTGTTGTTTTTATTCACAGGATGATGATTGTTTTCCGGAAGCCCCCATGGTCCCTCCAGGATCTACTGCAGTGCTTTGACAAACACTGGATTGCTGTGTTTGGTAAACTTACACTTGTCTCCATTTTTCTGTTGTTAGGTAGCCAGCCTCTGCTAAAGTTAAGAGTTGAAAACCCTAGCTGTTATCACTCACCAGAGAAAAGTCAATTGGATGGGATGCTAAGCTGTGACCCACTAATTCACTGCATATGATGGTGGCCAGTAACATCAGCATGCCTCTATATATAACACTGTATATTCAATCAATCAATCAACCAATCTTTCAAACAACTTGCAAAATGTGCCTGAATTGTGTTGTTTTTTTAAGTTGGATAAAGGATTACACAATCATGTTCTTAAGTCAATAATTATTTTGACTGAAAGATCACACGTGGTCATTTTGTACAAGTCCTTTATGTAAATCTATCCTCCATGTCCAGGTATGTTCCTGCATCGGGATGTGAAGGAGCACCTGGACAACCTGCTCAAACACTTCACCCGCGGGCGCAGCTACGGGGTGGACCTGCAGGAGACCCTGCAGCTGCTGCAAGACGCCCTGCAGCTGCTCAGACAGCTGCACAACCACAGCACGTGAGTGCCTTCAGGTGTCACCTGTCACTGTGGTCCAAATGGTGGTCAAAGTTCCATAATTTCCAAAAAAAGCACAAGGACTTTTAACACTGTATTTTGCTGTTACACTGTTACTTTCTCTTGTTTACGAAGTCAACCTGTCTTCTTTCCGATTCCTATTGTTGTTTCTTGACATGATCCTACCAAGTGATATTATGAGATATTTGCAGTGTTAACGGGTATGGAGGGCTGGGGTACACGAACATGGGAGGTGTAGGAGTGAAGAGGAGGGGCAGATATGCACAGCGACGTGGACAAAAGGGTAGCAACTGAGACAACCAAACCACTACAAAAGTTTGAAGACTCACAGTACTCTGTCTCCTCACAGATATGACGGGACCCTGCCTAAGGTTCTCTCAGAGCTGCAGACGGCACACCAGCAGTGTAAGGAGGTCCTGAGTGGGAACATGTCCTGTCTCACTGTCAAACAACCTGTTCCACCTGCACCTGCCACGCAACAAGTACCTCAACAACAGGTAGGAAACTGGCACGTTTCAACTTTCCTTTTTAATACTCTAGAGTGGCATTGAAAGGCTGAGTGGTAAGGCTAGCAGACAAAAGACATAGAAGTCTTGGGTTTGACTTCTGGCATTCCTCAACTATCCTCACTCCACCTAGCTATAAAAATGGGTACCTGAATTCAGTTGTAGATGGTAAAAGGTGGTGGAAGGAGAGGGATGGGATCCACCTTCCAATACTCCACCATAAACACAGTGGATTAACAGCCATCTTCCCCTACTGTCTGAAAAAGGCTACGGGACTTTCTCTAACTTTTTAAACCGTGGTTTTATTTTAGATTAGAAATACAATGATTGGTTGTTGATTCTTATTTTTCAGGAGCCCACCAATGAGCCAACCATGGATCCAGACTCCCAGATGTGGATAACCTTTAATGTTGTCTGGAAGGCTGTCAACTACTTCCTGTGAGTTGTGCTTACATTTTTATCTACTACGATAGCAGCATATTATATGCTCTGTCTTTACTTAGTTTTTTCTTACATTGAGTGATATCCATTCATATTTGATGTGTCAAACAACTCCACACAATTTCTTTTCAGTTTTGGCAAGCTGCATTTATACTCTGGCTGTTGTGTGTCCTAACTGAACATTGCCATACTTTATTTCCCAGTGTGAAGATATTTGATGGGTTGGACTACAAACACTCGATCCCGCCTGTAGCTAACATGACGGGGTCCCTCCCCTCCCGATACGAGGCTGTCACCTTCATGTGCAAACTCCACCCTCACCTGGCCAGGGTGGTCATGGACATGGAGAAGTGAGATACAAGTCAAATGTCTTTCTTTAACACACATGAAGTCATAATATACATGAAGTCATCATAATGCTGTTTACATGTACATTTAGAATTCTGTGTGATCCTTAGATCAACTGGTATCTCCAAACTGTCATACATTGCATTGACAGCAACAGTAACATGCTACTTGCCCTTCACATGATAAAGCTAGTCTACCAGTATTTTACTTGCAACTAGCAGTGTATATTTTCTGTACTGTACTGTACTGTATTTGAATAAAAGCTGTATGTAGAAAATAAGAACTTGAGCACCATACATTTTTGTAATTGTAGACATTTTTATGCAGATGTAGTAGAAGTAGGAGACAGAAATTTGGACCTAAGTTGACCCACTGTTGTTCCGGGCAGTTTTCTGAAGCTGGAGAGAGCGGAACAGCTGCAGCCGCTGGCCACAAACCTCTGTAACGCCATCCACGACTTCCTCAATCAACTGGTCAGGACATCTGCTTTTCCTTCATGTTTCTTTTTTTCATTTATGTGTTACTAGATCTTTATTAGAAGTTCCCATTGTCAGTACGTTATAGCTAGTGTTCCAAAGCATTTGATCCAATTATCTCAACAGCCAATCAGGAGTTAAGATGACTTCTATAAACATATCCTTTTTTCCCTTCAGGTGTACACCAACAGTGAGTCAGACAGTCTGCGCTATGCCACAGATGTGCAGGTACGTATCCTTATTGTGATAACTAAGTCATGGGTGTCCTGATACTAAATCTAGAGCTTCTTAGCAATACCACGGTCAACGCTCTCAAAACTGTGGGCGTTTGACAGGCTGTGACTTGTGCATCTTTATCCTCAAAATATGTTGGATGAATGTACAGTAGAAAGTAAGTAAGGACGAGAGTTCCCTTCTACATGTACTTGTATATTATCCTTTTCCCCCCAATGTTAATATGTCCCAGACACTGTCACTAGTGGAGCTCAGCAATATGAAAGAAGAAGTAGCTTTTCTGCTACACATGATTTGACATGTAAAGTTGTTCTCATGTTTCCCCAGCCGTCTGTCTGTGTGCTGACTCCTGAACTGTTGATCAGATGTGGCAGGGAGCCTGTGGCACAGTAAGTGAAACTCAACGTTTTCATGAATCCCAAGCAGATCACGATTTTAACCTAAAAGGTCTGCTTGGAGATAAATTGTTTGGATCGTTGAGTGCCTTGTAGTTGTGGCCTTCAAGTAATGTACAGTGTGTCAAGTTTTCAACCACTCAAAATATAGTTTGCAGCAGTAAGGGCCAATGAAATGCTATTTCCTGCATTTTGAGGGGCAAATTGTACTTATAGACTAAGCTTCGTTTAATACTGTACTATCTCTTTCCATATCTTTACATGCTTTGTCTGTCAAAGATGGTGGATATGGCAAAATTGTTGTCCGCCATGAGCGCAAAATGATAGAACCCTGGTCCTTAGCGTTGCATCTCCACCCTTTCCTTTGTCCCACAGGGAGAGGATGGGTAAAGGACTCCAGCAGCTGGGCATCTTCCTGACACAGCTCATGCAGTGTGGCAACTTCATCTTCCCAGAGGCCAGCAAGAACAACTGGTTACAACAGGCATAGCTGTGTTTCCTTGTACATTCTTTACAGGGGGCTTGTGCCATTATATTATAGTACAGTCTTTAATATGGCTATGACACAAGGTGACAAAGATCTAGTATCCAGGTGGAGATGATAACAGCTTTATCAGCCACAAAGTACATGTACTGTAACTTTTAGAACACTGACATAGCCATTTGGCTACCAGTTCTCTATAGGTTACAGGATGAGGCAGCAGGGAGACGGTTAAAGAATATTTGGAACAGTTGTCGAGGCCTTTGTTGAAACCTGGGACCAGAGTCATTACCTTCACCAGTATTGTCTACTGAGATGTAGCACTTTGAATCTATTTTTGTACTTAACGATTAGAGTAGAATCTGGTTTCATCAACAAAAAAAGACAAGCCAAAGTAAAGCAAACAAAAGTAAAATCTGTAGAGATATGTTAGCTTTTTTTTCCATTGCATTTTGTATGAGATGAAAAATTGGAGACATTCCAGACAAAGTCCATGACAAGAAATGCCTTTTCCTGAAGTGCAATTTGAAACAAGTCTGCGGTGTTGTTTAGAATTGTGCAAGATAATTCTTTTTCTTGGGGTATACTGCAATGTGAAGAGCTATGATTTAAGCCATATGTGAAGTGAAAGACAAAAAAAGGAATATTTGGACAGTAGACAGCAGTTTTGGATTGCACCCATACAATTCAGCCAGTTACATTTCTAGAAATTGTTCAGCTGAGGTTACTAATAGTTTCTGTTGTGCAGAAGACATGAGGCATTTTTGAAGACAGAGGTTCTATTTTTCATTGATAAAAGAGTAAAGAAACTAGAGTGCTGAAGCAATAAAATTAGTCATGATGTCACTCTGATTCTGAAGAACTTAAATGTGTTAACATGTATTCTGTTTAGCACAGTGTTTTGATCCTTTCTTTACTTCAAATTTCTTTTCAAACAAATATGTAGTAAACAAGAAAGTAGAAATCAACCATACTGCCCATAGTGTTAAAATAGCTGTATTTTTTCATACTTTTTTGGAGGAAACTCTGTTCTTAAAGATAGCATTAATTTGATTAAGTCAGCCTCATCTTGCCATCTTGATAAACAATGTGTGCCAATCTGTCTGTTTTAAAAAAGTTATTTTCATATTTTTTACATTTTTCTCTAAGTTTGAAGGACACACAAATATGTTCAAATGTGCAAAAATTTTCAATGTGGATACGTTTAGCTTGGCTGAAATTAGGAACAATGTGGAAAGTTATCATATGAAAGTTATAAGAATAGGAGTTAAGATTTTTTTGTCATAGGTGACAATGTTTACTAGTAGTGGTATTAGAAGTATATTAGTAGTAACATTTGTTGTTTTCCTACACTTTTCTTAGTACTAACTCTTGTTTATTTCTTAGACATACCTTTGACTCCTGCCTGACTTTTTCATCTCTTCCCTTCCCTTACATTCACTCTTTCATCCACCCTGTTCATATCATTCTCAGTAATTCCTCAACATTTTCACCCATCTTTATTTGCTTTTGCTTTGGTCAGTAGCATCTTTCCCACTAACATACATTACCGGTATTCTATTTTCTTTTCTTTGCTGTTATTTTCTTTCCATTTTCTTTCATTTTCTCTGCCATTTTCCCTGCTCTTGCCTTTTATATATGTTCATTTCCTTGCTTGCACTTTTGCACCTCCGTTGTCATCCTTTTTCCTTGTTTCTCCTCTCCCACATTCACTGTTGCCCCCTTTTTTCACAGCTTGCGGATTTCTTGCTTGTCTTCTTTCACGTTTTCCTTCTTGTACCCATACTGCATCTTCCATGACTTGTGCCATACAACCTACATCTGCATGGCTGTAGGTTGTATGGCACTACAAGTTTGTTTGTTCTTGTTATTACATGCTATATTTTCTCTGTTAGAAGCACACTTCATAGATAACATTTCCAATATCAGATTATACAGATTTAAATAAATTCAAAATCATATAGACTAATAGAGTTTAAAGACATATCCTTACCTACCTCTCTTTTACCAGCACTTTACTTTGAAGAAATCCGAAGTGTGCCTCTTGTAGATAAAATATGCTACTCACGCACTATGCTAGTACACCCATTACTAGTATATTGTGCTGCAAATCAAAGTTCGTAACTTGCTACACTGTTTTGTCCAGTGGGAGAAAAGTTTTGGTATGGTATTTTTCTCACATGTAATCCTATTCTATCCGTCCGTAGGCTTTTGTTTTTGAAAATGTGCCAGTAGCTGGGCTTACCGACATATGTTAATGCCGGCGCCGTTAGTCTAAGGGTAATATGTAGATATGTCTAAATTGTATGATAATAAGACAATTCTAGTGTGTGTTGGTCCAGTTTTCCTTTTTCATGTTGCCTTTTCTTACCCATACATTGAAGCCTTTTGAAATTTGCCGAAAGAAAGCAAAGACTGGCCAATAGCAGGTACTAGCATTGTCTTCTTATCATACTGTTTTGCCCTTTGTGGGTTAGATGACAATTATAAATACAACTAACTTCTCATTTCTTACCAATGGCTAGTATTGCATTGTACATGTAATTTTTCTTAACATTTTGTTGTTGCATATATAGTAAATGTTCGATAGTAAAAAGTTAAAAAATAGAAATTGAGACAAAAGTAGAGGTAGAAAATGCCCAGTATATTCTTTACAGATCTATAACATCATGTAAAGACAATGTGGTTTGGAGTGATCACAAAAGATAGCCACTTTGTAGGTTTACTGGTATTTTCTTAGACATAGTACTAATACCTGGTAGTGGAGTAGCACAAACAGTTTATTTTCCTATACACTCTATATTTTGATGCACAGACTTTGTTCACATGCTAGATTTCTATTAAACTACGATTGAGGAGAGGTATTCTCCAAAACGTTTTCTCAGACTCCTCTGTATTTGTAGCTGCGAGTTGTTTATTTATTTATGAAGATTTACCACATTTGTTGAAGGATTGACATAGCAGGTGACTATCACCTCTTCAAAGATACATGTTACATGTTTGTTCTCTTTTACACAACCCATGACATCCAGGGTCTAAATTACATACTAGTGACAACATGCAAAGATTTGATCCAGGTTTCTAGATGAGGGTCTGACATGTGTCCTGGACCTTGTCTTCCACGTCATCGTTTCCCTTCTTGAGTTTGAGGGTGGTAAGAACCGTGTCTATCATCTTCTTAGCAACTCTGGAATAGAAGAAAAGAACATGAAATACAATTAATGACCAATGAATGACAGGTTAAGTCTTTTATCAAGATTGTGAGTACTATCTGGTAGTTAAGCTACCCTTGTCGAATGTAGATTGTTTTCTACAAAAGTATTAAAAAGATCTATCGGACAAAGGAACAAACCATGGCCATGTAGCCTCTACCTGGCTTCTGGAAATGGCAGGAAACTGTTCTACATGTATATAGTGCGGGCCAACTCCCCTGGCATATCATCTGTCTACGTCGGTGAAGGTTAGACTTCCAGGCATAAGATACGCAAAAGAAAGCACGTGAAAGAAAGTGTCTCAAGCAACTGGGTCGATTAGACGTTTCGGGTAGCATCCACTACCTTTCTCCTGCAGTCTCTTAGCGTCACTGACGAAAGATAGTGGATGCTACCTGAAACGTCTGTCTATTAGGTCATTTTTTTATTCTTTCCGGCTGCCTCCTGAAGAGACTAATGACCATGTTGTACGGTTTTCTGACAGACTCACCCTTTCCCGAACTCCTCCCCGTCCTCCAGAGTTTGCGGCAGCTGCAGACCTTTAGTCTCGGGCAGCAGCATGCAGAGCAGCCCGGCTAGAACCGTCATGATGCTGAACAGCAGGTAGGGTGCAGGTCTCCAAAAGTCCGCTAGGAGCCACAGGAAGGGCGAGATGGTGGCGCCGAAGCGAGCAGCCATGGAGGAGGAACCCATGCCGGTGTTCCTGACAACGGTAGGGAAGAGCTCTATGGAGTAGATCATGATGCCCTGAAACCCGCCAGTGATGCACAGCTTAGACAACATCGCCACAGCCACACGACTAGGGCCTGGGGAAAACAAAGGGCACGATGTTCTATTACCGGTTAATCAGTTGTAAAAGAAGCGAATATTTTGTCGTCAGGAACGGTCGTCGAAAAAGAACCAATCCATCAGAAAAGTCCTCAAATGGAAAACAAAGTCATGTCAGGTGATTTTTCCGTTACGTTGAATACTCGCTTTTCTGTAATTCCGTTTTAGTACTGCTGAGAAGAGTACGTTATTATTGGTTACTAGTATGCTGTGAAAACTTCTCCTTTCTACAGGGCAAGACTGGGAAGGAGCTTGACCCCTGACCTGGTGGGAGGACAGTGACGATGATGAGTCCCAGGCCGGTCAGGAACAGGTAGGTGAACACCGGGATCTTCCGTCCGAATCTGCGGGTACAAATGTGAAGCCCATAAGGACGAGAAATGTATTTTTGAACAGGTCAAGATCTAGAAGTTGTTGTTGTTGTTTTCTATCGTGGAGACTAAAATATCTGTCTACCTGCCGGTAAGTAACTATTGATGGTGCTTTGGCAGTTCTACGTATCTGAAAGACTTTCTACGTGCCCATTTTCGGGCTAACTTACATCATATTCTTATGGAAGGGCGTTAAATGGCATGTTCAGCTCCAAGGACAGCTACCACTCTGTAGGAGGCTCCCAAATACTGCCCCTACCGGTGTTGCTCAGTACTGCAGTCCTGATATCAACCATTTCCCTGTTGACGTTTGGTGATATCTACGCAAGCCCTTACGATGCTTCAATACTGTATTTCAGGAAACTACCTTTGATGTGGGCTTGTTGGCTTGTACATCTGTCTAACTGACTGGGTCTGATTGAAAACATCATCTACCGCGCAAGGCTATTCCTTAGCGTACAAGTATACCCGCTGATACTATCTCCCCCTCTGTATGTTTGCTTGTGTCCGTAGATACTTGAATGCGGCAGAAAGGCGGTTATCACAGATAGGAAGGACGTGATGACCACAAATGGCCAGACACAGGAAATTAAGTCCCAGAAGCTGCTGACCGGGTGCCAGCCGGAAAGTGCACAGAGAGTTAGAAAGAGACATTCACAATGATGAATAAAACAAGAAATTCACAAAAGATCTAAATACTTCACGGGGGTATAAACTCTCTGATGTCTATTTTGTTACACATATGGTTGTAGCCTGGAGCCTAGCCATGTTAGCTTTTGTCTGCTCGCCAAGAGGCATGGGAGCGGATCTTGGGAAGCGGACCAAAGCTATGAAGGCTGGGCTCCAGGCTGATATAGTTTTAACCCACTCGCCTCTCCTGCAGGTACAGCAGGGACACGTAAGCAGGAAACTCCATGAGGGAGGAGATGAGGAAGTTCAAGTAGATGTTTCCGCTCAGGTCCGTGATGTTCAGGGAGAAGCCGTAGAACACCAGACTGCACGTGAACCTGGCAAGTGGTAAAGAATAAGATTTTTTAAATATTATCCATATTTATGACAAATCCACACCAATTCCATCTTTATTCATTGCTATTTCAAGGAATTCAGATCAACTAATCAGCTTTTAATAGGTATGATTCTGACAAATACTGGGATAAGCATTGTTGGTAATACTAGTACATATAGTAGATAATGCCGATTTTAGTACTTGCTAGCCTCGCTAGTACCCTTATCTCTAACACTGTACTTTCAAATTTTCATCTACTAACTTTCTATCGTTTCGAGTCTTACTAAATCTGCGGCTTCTTTCTATCCTATTCCAAGTTGACAGATTTGTTAGGTAACAACATCACGTGATCCCTACCAGACGTAGAAACACTTGAGCGACCTCGTCCTCATGTTGGGCGTGCGCAGTAGGTCCACGATACTGTACTTCCGAGATGATTCTTCCTTTTGACACATAACACATTTTGTCAGTACAGAATCCCAGAATCTAAAAAAAACTAGAAAGGTAACATTTGAAAACCAAATGAATAATGCATATGCTTACCTTCAAATATGGTCTGCTCTGGTAAATCTTACTCAAACACATTCATATATATGGTGACAGGATCCCTCCTGTGATGTAACCCAACACTAATTACCTTGATGACAGACATCTGGTTCAAGTCATTGACATTATTTGTTTGGAGAAGAAGAGGAAGAAGAAACAGAGCAAAAATGAAGAAGGCCTCTATCTTTATTCCTGATATTATCTGATACTATCTATAGTTTCAAATCATCAATGAAATACAAAATGTCCCCTTTACCTTGATAGACTCTGGATCTTCGGACGAAAATGCTTCATCCGGGACATTGACCTTGTTCACCCTCGCCATGCGCAGTGTGACCTCCTTCGCCTTCTCTTGATCACGTGACATCAGCCATCGAGGACTTTCAGGGCACCACCTAGGCATATAGCACGAAATCGTAACATGCCATGTCAGAAATGCAGTCAATGCAAATATACACCACCTAGACTGTTGAAATAGAAATGCTTTTAATAATAAATTTGAAATTAACTGATCTTTTTATCTCTTTCACATACGAGAATGTAAAATGTAAAGCCCCCAAGCCCCATGTCCATGCCCTATGTTATTCTAAGTTTCGACAAGAAAAAACATAAATGGCCAATGTTGCTTTACTATGTCATATGTATTCAATTTTCATCGTATCACTATGATTTTCAGTGAGCCTATGACAGAACAGCACGCCAACGAGGGTACTAGTATATGAAACTTACGTCACAAGACTACTGAATTTTGTCACGATACATCCACGACTGTCGCAAACCGGTCGTGTGACGTACGTGACGGGGAACTCACCAGAAGTAGGGAATGTAGAGCAGGTTCGGCAGTGAGATGGCGAGCTGCAGCATGCGCCAGTCGCGGATCCCGTACGCGATCCCCGCGAAAATGATCTCTCCCACCGCGAAGAACATCGGGCGGAACACGCCCACCTTCACCCGCTCACTGGGGCCCACAAACTCCGCAACTAGAGATCAAAGCATTCATGAATTACTTATGATAGTCAACTCCGGGGCAAATAATGACCCTCCTTGTATCTAGCTACAACCTCCTTCTCAGACTTGTGAGGCGGCGGCGGCGTTATTTTTGGGAGGGGAACGTTCGAATACGAGAGGGCTACGAAGAGGGATTTTTGCCTTAGCCTGAGTGTCAGCCTTTTTAGCTTTCGTTCGCTCCCCACGATCCGCTACTGGCCACTCAGGATAGTTTTGCCTAACTCCCTCCGCGGCAATACTCCCTCTTCGTAGCCCGTGTAAAAATAACGGCGCCGCCGCTCAAGTCTGCAAAAGAGGGCTATATGTAACCTACATTCTTCTTATTCGTTTCCTACAAATAAAAGATATGCTGTGTTCATATGTTGTGTTTTGCGATCTGAACGTTAAAGCCTTTCTTTGTATGAAAGACAATGGATTCACCCATAACGCAGGACACGATGATGACTCCTGACGTGGCGGCGCCGACGAAGAAGCGGAAGATGACGAAGAGAACCAGGTTGGGAGAGAAGGCGGCGGCCACTCCGAACACACACTGGATCACCAGGCTTAGGAGGTACGACGGGCGCCGGCCCAACCTGAGGGACAGCCAAAGCACAGGTTGGTGACTCCGTACTTTGATACATGTATGTAATAGTATGTACAACCTCTTTTCCCTATATAAAGATAGAGCTCGGTGTCTTTTCCTTGTGCAGACCCCATTCGTAGTATACGAGTTGCAGAAAAAGCACGGAATAGCATAGAATGGATGTTCATACAGTTGAACCCAGATCCAATAGTACTCGGATCCACTCCAGTGGCGTCGGCAAAAAAAAAAACGATGTGCTCTTGCCCACTTCTCGGAGCTGCTGTTTTGTGCATTTTTGTGCCATTTTCTGTGCATCACTCTGGTGTGTAATTTTCTCTGTTCATCGATGTTGCACTAAACAATATCAAGATCAGAAGAGCTTTTTGTCCCACCGTACCTGTCCGCCAAGTCTCCGAACACCACAGCCCCCACCATCACCCCCACCATGTACAGGGCTGTGGTCAGCCGCTTCAGCCAGCTGGCAGAGCACACGATGTCCCACTGGAAAAGGAGGAGTGCACCATGTTTTTATTTGAACTTCATGTAAAATAAGATGAGTAGGCAGTCGGTTAGTTTATTGTTTTTTCCTAAGAGTACTTCATTATGTTCATGACCAAGAATGTAGATACTGAACTCCCCCTTATACTAAGAAAACGATATCCGTCCTTCCTACATCGTTCTGTAACGCGTCATGCAATTTAAGTACAGTCCAGTTTCCTTACACACAATGTATCTAAATAAAACCTTCATGATGTTATATAAGTAGTTCCTTACAAGGCACGCCCTCAGCTGATCTGTCACCCAGTGATTCTTGCTACGTGCCAAGAATTTGTCAAGGTCATGCTTTGAACTCTTAACCTAAAATTACTTTAAAGATGGGTATGACTTCTATCTGTGAATATAGTAAATGTGAAGAGACTAGAGCGCCAAACTTTAAAATGTTTGTACTTCTAGTGGCTGTACATTAAGAAGCTAATGAGCAGCTATGATCCTATATACCTCCGTGACGATAGTAGAAGTGAAGGTTTCACAGTCGTACTCCCAGCCCCGGTCACAGCTGAGGGTCCCGCCGGCTGACAGACTCTCGGGGGAGTGTGTCTGCCAGAACTCCGCGGAACTCACGTTATATTCCTGTTCTGTAAGGTTATACCTGGTGGTAGGAAATGAAAGAAAACAGTCCATACATTAACTATGATAGTTGTGATGTAATGTTGTTTTTGTGATTGCCTGGTAGAGAATAAAATAAAACAACCCATCGTATATGTACATTATTCTGCGTTTTACAGTACTGTTTGTTGTCAAAATGGTATACACACGCCCTACAAGAGAACATGTACCAAGAGAGTACCGTATTGTATGTAACATACAGCGATTGTCTCCCCTTACATTAACTATGATAGTAGTGATGTGATGTTGTCTTTGTGTTTAACGTGCCTGACTCATTGTGTAGTACACTGTTTACCCCCAGATTGTATTTCGGTCCACTAATTCCAAAACACCTGAGTGGGAAAACTAGTGTAAACATGGTAAATATGTACACTATGTTGAACTCTGAGTAACCTACTAGATCCTATAGTTACGGAATGGGTGGATACATGTATGTTTTCGTCCGGTACCGGTACTCTATACAGAACTGACTCCATGAAGCTGACTAGATTATGATCAGTGACCTTGAACGGCCTTTAGGTCAGACTTCAAGAACGGTTGTTTTGGATGAAGTCAGCAGTTTCGTCAATATCTGAAGTTTATATAGACAAACGTGGCTTTTTATTGTTCACGTCTGTCAGTTGCTTAAGTCCCAAAACCTTTTAATGACCCTGACCCACAGAAACATGTACCGCTACAAGACTGAATCGCGAGGCAGAAAAATGTTTGCATTCCGAGTGACCCTTACAACGTCTTGCAATGCAGGTCATGTCGGGGTCAAACATGGGCCAGTGACCCTGGGCTTGATACAGCACAGACTTGGCCTTGACTTCAGTTCAATTTAACGTAAACAACCGTGTTATGTTTCAAGCACGATTGGCCAAGAATACGGTAGATGTTGCGATACATACACCCCTGCCTATTCTTGGCCTTGGGACTGAAGACAGATCAGGCGTACTATACCTGATATGAGCTCTATTAAAAATTGAAATGTAATGGACAGATTCAAAGACGGAAATACGGAATCTAGTATCTACATTGAGGTTCAACGAATTACATGTAGACAATAGATTCCATACTATCATAACTCATTTCGGTTAACTGTCTGAACTTCATATGGCTGTTAATTGATAATTTTAAAGGCAAAGTTTGATACTTTGTCTTATTAATTCTGACCTTAAGCACTGTGAATATTGCCGACTCTCGTTCTTCTCTTGGGTCCAGGGTAAGCTCATGTCCAGGGCCCGTGGAAGCGGCTGGCAGTCCCGGCTGGTGACGAGCCCGGGCACCGAGCAGTGGTGGGCGGGCACGGCGGCCAGGAACACCGAGGCGACCTGGTGGAAACCCACGGGGATCTCCGCGAAGCACATCAGGAAGAGAACCCATCCCTGGTACAGACCGAACTCACCAAGGTACTTGGTCAAAATCTCGTCGAAAGGTAACATGGTGCACTTGCGTATGTAACTAACTCTGGGTCTTACGGACGTCTTAAGCACTAGTACTTGTGTGTGCCTCCAAGACGGGCGTCTCGTAAATCGTCTTATTTGGCTTGGTGCCAACAAGAATTTCTTGGCCTTCTTTAAAGCATTCGCTGGTTGCCACCATTCGCTTCTCAAGACCTCACTTTTTAGATTTTTTTCTAGATCTAGATTTTACACTTAGAGACGCATCCACGTTCTGACAGCCACCAGTTGGTGAGACTCACAGAACCATTTGACTATCATATCAAAAGTTCTGCTTATTTTTTCGTTAAATTTTGACGAAAACCGTGGGACGCCAACATGCAGTCCTCGGTACAGCCGCCGGGTGGCATCATCGTCACTCACAAGTTTGTAGGCAGTCACTGTGTTCATGATTCGTGAATTTTCAAGTTTTAATCTATAACTGTTTAAACTCACGTTCTGCTGTAGTTTGAAAACGTGATTTTGTGCATGTGACACATGGACCTTGAACCCCGGGCTTGCGCAGTCCAAAGGCGGTCAGTTAATAAGTCAAGCCGGTCAGTTAATAAGTAGCATGTGAATCAAGATGGTCTCTTCATTACATACGTACAAAATATGTACAAAGTGTTACATGTAAGGGTTATCGAGATCCTACCAACATGCTGTGTTGATTATGAAAAATTTTTCGAGAGAGGCATAAAAGAGGCCATATACATCAGGGCACTTCAACCATCGCTCAACCGGGACGGGGGGCGATATCGACTTCAGACAACCTTTGACCCTTTGTTGACGTCACACGTGGGAAAAATCACGTGTCCACAGCATTTGGGTCAGATAGCTCAGGAAGACTGAGTGATTCAGTCGAAAATTTCTGGTGAGTCAAATTTTGAGTTGGAGAAAAGTTTTTCATAATGTAATTTACCAACTCAGATGAACTTTCATGCTGATGCTGTGTTGATGATTGTCACATGAAGCATGTTGGTAGGATCTCCATAACCGTTAACACTTTGTACATATTTTGTACGTAAGTAATGAAGAGACCATCTTGATTCACATGCTACTTATTAACTGACCGGCTTGACTTATTAACTGACCGCCTTTGGACTGTGCAAGCTCGGGGTTCAAGGTCCATGTGTCACATGCACAAAATCACGTTTTCAAACTACAGCAGAACGTGAGTTTAAACAGTTAAATATAGATTAAAACTTGAAAATTCACGAATCATGTGACACAGTGACTGCCTACTGTGTTTGACAGTTCTTCTATGAAGTAGTTCCTTCTTCTCCATACATCAGCAGATTTGACAACTTACGGTGCCGCGATGTTACCGTTTGACGAGATTCTGAGCCGGTACGTCGGTGAGTTCGGCTGGTACCAGCGCTGGGTGATGTTCCTCATGTGTTTCGCCGAGGTCCCCGTGGGGTTCCACATGCTATCGGCGGTGTTCCTGGCCGGCAGTCCCGTCCACCACTGCACGGTGCCGGGCCTGCAGACCATGCAACAGTGCCGGCCTATAGGGAAAGCCTTGGACATGAGTGTACCATGGACAGAGAATGAACAAGGGGGCCGAACTTACAGTAAATGCACAAGGTAAGAAGAAACAGTGCCACGCTATAAAATCACTACACCGCAAAGCTGCTATCAAGTCTTTTAAGCTGCTAGACAATGCTTGGATGTTCTTAGAAGGTTGTGTACTTTGCATATTTCTCACAGAATTCAAAGAAAAGTATGATTTCTTGAAATTTCTTGAATGCTAGGTACGACCTCCCCAAGGGAAGCTTCAACGTGAGTTCCGCGGCGTTTTGGCATATCCACTCCCCCGAGAGTCTGTCAGCCGGCGGGACCCTCAGCTGTGACCGGGGCTGGGAGTACGACTGTGAAACCTTCACTTCTACTATAGTCACGGAGGTTTGTGCATTGTGCTTTATAGTCCACTATCCTAGCTGTATTCAAATTCTGCCGTCGAGGCAGAATTGAGTTGAGTTGACTTGAGTTTCAAACCTGACTGTATAAAGTTCATGTTCTAAAGAATGTGGAACTTAATTGTATCTTTTTTTTTTGTTTTCATATCAGTTTATGTTTTTTAGACATTTGCAGTAAAGCATACGACAACGGGAAGTTCCATTGCCTACTACTGTCTTGTATCTTGTTCTGTTGTTCCAGTGGGACCTGGTGTGTTCTAGTAACTGGTTAAAGCAGCTGACGACGTCCCTGTACATGGTGGGACTGCTGTTCGGAGCGGTTGTTTTTGGAGACATGGCGGACAGGTACGGTATGATCCTTACGATGGTAAAAGTCGTGTTCAGGTTTGTTTGTTTGTTTGTTTGTTTGTTCATTTAAATGTAGTGCATAACAAGTGGCAACCAGGCAGCAACAAGGCTGGTAGCGGCTACCACTGACACATAAATGCATAAATACAAAGTACAGTATAACTTAAATACAATATCACTTAGTACATACAAATTCAATTCAATATTTACAATAGCAATAAACATACAAAGTACATACAAATTCAATCAATACATAAGCAATACAATATAAATACAATACAAATCGATAAAATGATCAAAGTTGAAATGGAACGGTTGGAGGATTTTTATTTACAATTGGTGTTTAGGTAATCAGGATAAGAGGTGGTGTTTGCATTTGGCCTTGAATATGGAGATGGTGGCCGACCCTGTGACCTCGCTGGGTAAGCGATTCCACAGTCGGGAGGTGTACAACAGGAAACTGTCTCTGTAGACGTTTGTTCTGCACCGGGGGATGTGAAGGTGATGAGCGTTCCGCAGTCGTCGCTGGGATTGGCTGTTTGCGACTCGGGTAGTCGGGATCATCAAAATCTCAGTCTTCATCTTGAGTATACAATTGTTTCATGCTACAAACGCAAAGCTGACTAATCGACGGTGGACATTATTACTACCAATCATTAACTAGTGTCGATACAAAGTAAAGTAAAGATACAACTGTCGTCTAAGCCGTGACAAAGCAACCTTTGCAAGCTGTTGTCCGCCAGCAAGATGATATATATGTACTTACAATTGATGGTACAATGTACTTTGGGACTTTAAAATCATCTCAGTCAACAAGAATAACAATATTTATCATTACATACATTTGAGAATCTAGGACAGCTGTAGCCCTGTGTCCGAACCTTTAATTCAAAAAGGCGTGAGGAATAGAAATGCATTGTAGTAATGTGCAACGGACAGTTTCAAAATGTGTTTTTTTCATACTCGTAGGTTTGGTCGACGCCCGGCCTACCTCCTATGTCTGCTAGTCCAGTGTGTGTTCGGAGTGGCCACGACGTTTGCACCCAACCTGGTTCTGTTCGTCATCTTCCGCTTCTTCGTCGGCGCCGCCACGTCAGGCGTCATCATCGTGTCCGCAGTCATAGGTCTGTTCGTAGTCTTTCACGCTTTTTGTATGACCGTCTTTTACTTACATTTTACTTACTTATGAATTCCCCGTCGTTAACTGACTGTGACTGCTCGGCCGCAAACGTTAAGTCTGTCACTGTCCATGTAACTGTTGGCTCAGCTGCTGAGTTCGTGGGCCCCACAGAGCGGGTGAAGGTTGGGGTGTTACGCCCGGTGTTCTACGCCGTGGGAGGGATGATCATGGCGGGAGTAGCGTACGGGATCCGCGACTGGAGACTCCTGCAGCTTGCCATCTCACTGTCGAACCTGCTATACATCCCCTACTACTGGTAACTTGTTTATTTGTTTGTTTGTTTGCTTATTTGTTTGTTTCGCATAACCGGTAAATTGCCTGTTTAGGCGTAACATACCAGTTTTGGACATGTACAAGCTGGTCCATTTAACGAAATAGCAGGTAACGAAGGAGGAGAAACATGTTGCAGGTGTTGAAGGCACCTATAGTTGACCATTAACCGCCAATCAGCGAGAAGGACAGAGCTTGAAGCCACCAGTTTTGGAAATGTAAGTACGAGCTGCGTAAGACCAGGCTGTAAGGTTTGAACCACTCACACCAGGAAGGATCTATTCTTTTCGACAAGTGCGGTGGGTTCTTTAACGTGCGTGGGGTGTGGCTCTCCCATACACGGGAACTCCGAGAGATACAATACTAAAGAAAATACTATACTGACCGTAATGACACCGTAACTATCAAACGAACATCGCCAAACAGCCTCCTTCTCTTTCCAGGTGGTGCCCGGAGAGTCCACGGTGGCTGCTGTCACGTGACAAGGCCAAGGCCAAGGAGATTATTCTCAAGATGGCGGCGACAAACGGCGTGAACCTCCCCGGTCACGTGCTGGAGGAGAAACTTGGGGAGGACTCTGGCACAAAGGTAGGATCAACTACTTCTGATCTATATTGATGTTTACCGAAGGAAAACATTGTTTTTGCTTTGTTTCCTCTTCTCATTCTCCAAACAAATAAGGTCAATGACCTGAACCAGACGTCTGTCACCATGGTAACTGGTGTTGGGTTATGTCATGTTGCAATTTTATTAAAGGAGGAATTTAGCCTCCTGCCACCATATGAATGTGTATATGAATTAGCAGAGCAGAACATATGCGAAGGTAAACGTCATGCATTTGCTTTGCAAATGTTACCTTTCTAGTTATTGACATACTTTGATAGCGGAATGACACTCTATCATTATGTTGAACCTAATCAATCCATTTATGAAGGACATCTGTCGTTCTCTTTCAAATTCATAATTTTCCATGTAAAGATTTTAAACTTTTATTTCAATCTAGAATTTTCCATGTGTTTAAAATATTTGCTCAGAACGAAACAGAACAAGAAGAGACACGCAGAAATTACACCGTACTGGACCTTCTGCGCACGCCCAACATGAGAATGAGGACCCTCATCATCTTTTCCATTTGGTAAGATTTTGTCACTAGGCTAGTTCCACTTAGAAATGTGTTTGAATTAATCATTTTAACATTAACTTTTTCAAAACAAACGATAACCTATTTTTCTCTGTTAAAAGGACACTTCACAAAATCCATCTTTTTGCCTTCGTCAGAAGGGTATAAAAGTAGTCTGCGAGTGTCGGAGACTGTGGATTTGTGGATTTACCGGCATAACTCTTGAAGGCATTAATGATTTTTATCAGGCAGGTTACCGTTGGGAAGACTAAGGTCAAGTGCAAAAATGGGTTTCGTGGGAGGTCTCTACTATCTCCGACCTCTAGTTATGTATGCTTCAAGCACGTAACTCAAGAGTACCTTAACGCAAGGGTTAAGGTGTGCTTAAGAGATCGGGTTTTGTGCAGTGCTAGTCGAACTTTTTTTCCTTTTTGAATCTCCAGGTTTGTGAACAGTTGTGTGTTCTACGGTGTATCCCTGAACATTACTGACCTGAGCGGAGACGTCCACGTCAACTTCCTCATCTCCTGCGCCGTGGAAGTTCCCGCCTACGCCTCTCTACTCTTTCTACAAGAAAGGTATGTCGGTAGCAATTTCTTCACAGGGTACTAGTATGTGTCCTTGTCGTTATGTTTGATACTAAACCCGCTGATAACATTTTTATAAACCCTATAAAGCCTTTGAATTTGATACGGGGTTTATGTGTACTGATATTCTTTCCCGAGGTGTTGAATTCTGTAGAAACGTTATTTATTATCCTACTTACAATCTTTCACAGTAAAAATCGTGTGTTATGTATTTGTCTTTCCTAGGTTCGGCAGGAAGATTCCGGTGTTGGCGTATGAACTGTTGACAGGAGTGGGTCTGATTATCACTGCAGCTCTTCCCGCAGGTTAGTCTACTCTTGCCTTGGTAGTCCTTCGTTGTCGAAGATGACTGTTAGTAACAAGCACTATCCGTTTGAAAAGTAAAGGGCTTAAGGTAAAACTTTCCTGGACGAATTCTTTCAAAACAGTTCTAGGGGACTATCTTAAGTAATAGTGCCTTACTTTTTTTTCAAACACGTAATTATAACGATTTGTCCCGATAGGAGGTTTGCGGTTGACTCTGGCGATGATCTCCAAGTTCTGCATCACGGGCGGCGCTCAGGGGGTGATGATTTACACAGTAGAGCTGTTCCCTACTGTCATAAGGTAACTGAAAAACACAACATTACTTCCAGTAGTTTTATTTTGGCGTGTAACCAAGTCATTTTTGTCACCGTGACCTGTAAAATGCTGTGAAAAGTGTAAAAAGCATTTTTTTTTACCATCCTCATCAATTTATCAGGCTAGCTTGGAATCCATCCCTAGTCCTACGAGCTATTTGCCAGTTCTATCGTAGGGATTCCAAGCTAAAATCAGGCAGACGCCGGTCACTCAAATTAAATCTACAATTACATCCACTGCACAAAACCCTACCTTAATAAGCACAAAGGTACAAGCGAGTGAAGAAATAAAAACCTTTATGAATGCTTTAAGACGTACGTAATGGATTTTGGAATTTCTGAGAAACATTTGCCATAGCCTAGTAAATAATCGTTTGGAAGTACCGAACACCCAACGCCTGACGTTTCGGCCTTTTTAGCTTTCGTCCGCTACCGGGAGCGGATCGTGGGGACCGGACAAAAGCTAAAAAGGCTGGTACATGGTACTCAGGCTATAACGTCTATCCAGGAATCTCGGGATGGGTTCCGCCTCCACGTCAGCCCGTGTCGGCGCCACCATCTCGCCCTTCATGTGGCTCCTGGCGGACGTCTGGCGGCCGGCTCCCTTCCTGCTCTTCGGCGTGATGACGGTGTTGGGCGGGCTGCTCTGCATGCTGCTGCCCGAGACCAAGGGCGAACAGCTGCCGCAGACTCTGGAGGACGGCGAGGAGTTCGGGAAAGGGTGAGGACGAAAGCGGAGATCCTTCGTAATCCCTTACACACACACACACACACACACACACACACACACACACACACACACACACACACACTACACACACACACACACACACACACACACACACACACTTCCACACACACACACACACACACACACACACACACACACACACACACAGAGAGAGAGAGAGACAGAGACAGAGACAGAGAGAGAGAGAGAGACAGAGAGAGAGAGAGAGAGAGAGTTTAATGCTCTTCCGAAATTCTTCCGAAAGAGATGGAATAGTATATGTAGCTACTTCTCTATCAAATAGATGGCAAGATGTATTCTCACTCGTTTGAAAATAACAGGAATATTGTACTGAACTTAGAAATGTACCGGCGATGCTTATTTACGAGATTTGTGCAGACTATACTATAAATCATCTATAGATTTTCAACATCTGATATACTATATATTTACTTCCAGGGCGATGCGTAGGACGTGGTCCAGGACACTTAAGCTGTTACGGCTCAGGAAAACAACCGTTGCCTAGTGTTGGTCTGTAGAAAGCGTCACCGTGCTCATGTTAACATAGGCATCACTTGTAAACGGTAGTAAACTTAAATAGTTCTAGAAGTACAATGCAAATGTTAATCTTAAAAGGCACGAGAAGATAATAATAAGACGACATTTGTACCAGTATATTGGTTTTTGCTGTATTGCTGCTCAACCCCTTGTTGAATTCAGAACAAATGGAATAGTACAATTTAAAAAAATTATTAATGGTAAACGTTTACCAACAATTGTTACCGAATGTGACAGACCATTTTACGTTCTCTGTTAGTTGTTTCGGCTGCTTGTTTCGTCCGAGCATCGTTACTTCGTCCGATCATTGTTAATTTGTCTGTAAAGCTTCCCAGTGCATGTATATGTCCGTACTGTTTGGGATTACTCTATCTAAAATTGCTAACGTGATCATCCCGTAACCGTTCAATGCTGCTCTACTTAAAGACGAGCCATCGTTTGGGATTCTCTATGAGAATCTTGTTGATGTCTTCTTCAGATATCCCTCTGTTTCTCATCTTGGGTACGACATTCAGTAGGATGTGGGAGTAGCCGTGGCCGCCGTAGTGCATCTAGAAACAAGAAACAATCTTCGCTAGTAATAGTAATATAACATCCTTTGTTGCTACCGTGTACGGAGGTTTTGTTTATTGTTAAAATGAACTCCATTAGTGACAGTACATGTATGTACGTGACTTCACTACATGTTTTCAATGTGTTTGTCTGCCTGTTTGCTTGTTTGTCCACAGTCCACAGTAGAGTAACAAGGAGTGGGGAGGGAATTGTGTAACCGCAGACCGACAGGAAGGTTAAATGGGAGGTCAAAATGGTCTCCCCCAGCAAAATAGGCTCCCCACAGGCTGGAGGGAGACCCTTTTGGGGAAACCGCAATTGAATATATATTAGTGAAAAATTCACAATATTTGCTAAAACAAAGGTATTCACAACAACTGTAGATGCCTTACGGAGATATGTGAGGTCTTCGATTTCCTCTTTTAATTGTCTTCCTGATTGTATATTAATATTTCTGAACAATGTACGGGAAACGAAGAAAAGTCTGACACTTATTAAAAGGCTGGAAAACCCACCAGCCTGTGTTTGGTATCCACGTCGTGAGAGATGACGACTCTGTCAGCGTGCCCCTCCTCCAGCACCTGTCGTATCATGCGGATCCGCATGGCGTCGTTCGGCATGTCTATGTCCTGCCACTGGGTGTGGGAAACCTCCAGGCCGAAGAAGTCCCACTCCAGGTAGCAGCCCAGAGAGGCGAACTCGAGAACGTCCTCCGGCTCGAAAAACGTACCTGTGATTTGGATTTGGGGCAATTAGACTTATTAACAGAAAGCATTGCCTGGAGTCCAGCTTTGTTAGCTTTGGTCCGCTAAATCTAACGAGGCTGGACTCCGAGCATTGGCAGAAAGCAGGCACATGAGGCATCCACACAACACCATTCTATTAAGCAGAGATTGGTTGGGAAGATTGCGACCTTCCTCTGACTGGCCCATCCGACCGGCAGAAAACGGGGCTCGTCAGATGACAAAAGTTCATGGTATTTCCATCTAAACTCTGACGGGAGAGTAGACCAATTAATTCAGCTGTTCTTTTTTTTTGGTGAAGTGCCTTCTACTGTGGACAGTGTTATGTACTATGGATAGTAGAATGCATGAACTTACTGTCAATGTGTGACATCACTGTTGCGCTGATGTCACCACCAGCTTCCTGCAGTATCCGGACGATCTCACAGGGGGGCGTCTTTGTGCCCTCCAGGGTGAATGATGACAGGACAACCTGTCTCACTCTGTGCCGCAGCCGTGGCCTGCAGAACTTTCCTTTCATTGTCTAAACAATAACAAAAACATGAAATAGATACGAAACTTTTTTCGGGGAAGGCTTAACACTTACCTCTGTTACACGTAGGATATGTTTTGTTTGTTTGTTTGTTTGTTTGTTTGTTTGTTTACTACTTTACTTAACAACAAATATACACAAGAAATTATGAACGCATTTTATACCTTGGTTATGTCGGGCAGTTTTAGCCTAAGATGGAGACGGTTGTGTATAGGTTCATCTTTGTGGCCTCAAAAAATCATAATTGTTCCTAGAGGTTTGCGGAACCATTCCAAACGGTGTCCCATAACAGCATGCATATCGCAGTAAAATATCGATATAAATATAGTATAATGCAATAAAGTTTCTTACCGGTGAGCGGCCAAGAACAGCCGATCTCCCCGATCACCCCACACCTGACGTCAGTCCCATCGGCCCCCTGGGTGATGTCGCGGACCAGGGTAGACACCAGTTGCTCCTGTGTAAGGCTGTCCATGTTGGAGGGGTGGGTGTTCGCCGTGTAGTAACCTACAAATGAACATTGTAGTACAGCTATATGATATTTTTGCACCCCAATGTGCTCTTGGATATTTTTGCACCCCAATGTGCTCTTGATTACCTTTGTAACATTCTTACCTTCGCAAAGGTTATGCTTTCACCAGCTGGCTTTCATTGGTGTGTGTGTGTGTGTGTACGTGTGTGTGTCTGTGTGCCTGTATCTGTTTGTGTGTGTCTGTGTGTTTCTCTCTATGTGTCTGTGTGTAATAATGAAATAATTCTTACATAGCACTCTGTCATAGGATAAGACTGGCATTAGGTGCAGAATATGATCAACTGACATGATTTATGCAAATGAGGATCTTGTTTTCATAATCAATGAAACTCATTTATGATTCGTCGACATTCGTCAAGTTTAACATCATTTGGCGAAGGTACGTATGAGATCGTGGATCTCTAGTTTTCAATTCTTTGATGATATCATGACGTTACATGCACACGTCGAGATCCCTTCTTTCGCTTGGTGTAAAAAAAGTGTTTTTTTTTAGAATTTATACACTCTTTACCTGCTCCACAGATAACATTCACTCCAGTTTCCATGGAGATCTGCTTCAGTTTTCCAACATCTCTGCTCAGCCCGAGGGTGGTGCATTCAACAATGGAAGAGCCTCCGTTCTGTCTGAAGAACTTCAGCTCTTCCACCATGTGGTTCTCCTCCCCATGAAGATTCAGGTTCTCTAAGAAACTGTACCTTGAGTAGAATACAATGAAGGATAACGTTGAAGAATAAAAAATGGCTCAATTGAACAATATACAGGATTACCACAGTAATAGTTGCCCCATTTGGATTATCCCAAATCGTATCAAATGGCAAAATTGTTTTGTCCAAATAGCAGACCAGCTACCATTGAAGTTTCAAAGGAAGGGGGTAGACTTCCATTGAACCAATACTTTATTCCTTTTCTGGGCAGAAAGACCTACGGATACTGTCTGATGAACCCCAGATTCTCCATGCTGAAGGACAGCGTATCCGGGTGAGGTGCATGCTGGGACGGTTTGGCCCGGAAACAGGAGAAGTCTGCCACCAGGTGTTCATGTGTCAAGGTTTTACCCAGAATGCCCGGGTCAATCCAACCGCACACTGGAATTAATGCAACATGGGTATAGTTTCCTTAGAAACGGTTGCCATAGAAACATGATAGTTTACTTTCCGAAGCCCTGAAATGAATACTAGTATATAGGCCCCTATACCGATAGTGATTTGACGTCAGTTAGACTTGTTAAGTAATACTCGAGTTATGATGCTTTATTTTCTATCTTGGGTATTTTTGCCTAATTTGCACACCTTTCCATACGGGCCCATGGAACCAATTTGTGCCAACTGGACCTTACCACACCGTACCTTGTTAGGTGACAGAGAGTTTGCAAAGTGTTAGTTTTCATCATGTTTTCCAGGTAGAATCGTAGCTTTCAAAAATTGCTTATACGTACGTGATGACGATGATAATGATTGGTTTATTGGGTGAAATTCAACACAATCTGACATAGCAGTCAGCAGACTGAATTAGCGTCACACTTTACAGAAGCTATTAATTAAATGGACAAAATTTCACACGTCTAGTACAAGCGGCCACTTCTGAGTTAGCATGAAATGTAAACACAAAATCTTCTCACTCATGCCTGTATCTCTATCGATCAAACAGTAAATGTACTTGCAGTAAATGCCCAGCACGGTACTTGCACTTACCTGTCTGAATTTTCCCTTTCATGTTTTAGGCACACCAGACTGTAAGTCAAAGTAAGTCTGACTATAGTCCAAACACTGATCATATTACATAATGAACAAACCAAGGGCAAGGGTTATTCCGCAAAATCAAAGGTTGATGACTTGTGAATTGTTAACTTGGGTGTAAACATGGCTTCTGGGTTAATGGGACAGGAATGACAGGTATGTTCTAAATGTTTAATGTATCGTCAATCTTTTCGTACAAGCACTGGTCGCTAAAATTTCATCATTGTTGCAAGCTGCCAGAGCGTTATGATATCTACATTCTAGCACACAGAAAAGATCAAAGATAGTTTGCCCGAAGTGATAAGTACACAACGTGTAAACATTTGTTTTAAAAGGTAACATTAGTGCGATATATACAGACTGTCCCAAAATATAACTACATCAGCGAACACAAAGATGGCCGTAAACACACTGTTCACACATACAACGCCTGTCATTAATCTTACAACAAGATTACTCTCATCAAGCGAAGAGCCAAGGAGATTACAAGGTAATCAAATAGAACGTCTAATTTGTCGCTCTACAACTAGCCACCCGACTACAATGTAGAATTATAATCGACATAAAGGTGAGATGAAAATGTTATAAAAGAAATAATTGATGTGATCTTTTTAGAAACAGGTTTAATCGGTGTGACAGAGCTTACTGACTTGGCAATATTTGAGAGTACACAAGTCAGACCAAAGGTCGGCCTCAGCAGCACTGAACACAGGCGCAAGGCCACCGAGTTTTTGTTGAAATGTAACGTTATATTGTTTTGGAACCCATCAAAACTAGTTCAAAAACTAGTTTACAACGATTATTTATATATATATATATATATATATATATATATATATATATATATATATATATATATATATATATATATGATCATATGCCAACAATTGGTACTCGGAATGTGACAGACTATCTTAAATTCTCTGTTACTCGTTTCGACTGCTAACGTGATCATTTCAACTTAAGGGTGACACATCTTAATACTGTTCAAGGTTGCTCTACTTAAAGACGAGCCATCGTTTGGGATTCTCTATGAGAATCTTGTTGATGTCTTCTTCAGATATTCCTCTGTTTCTCATCTTGGGTACGACATTCAGTAGGATGTGGGAGTAGCCGTGGCCGCCGTAGTGCATCTAGAAACAAGAAACAATCTTCGTCATTTTCTCTTCCAACTCAGTGATTCACTAGTAATAGTAATGTAACATCCTTTGTTGCTACCGTGTACGGAGGTTTTATTTATTGTTTAAATGAACTCCATTAGTGACAGTACATATATGTACGTGACTTCACTACTTGTTTTCAATGTGTTTGTCTGTTTGCTTGTTTGTCCACAGCCTCGAAGTAGAGTAACAAGGAGTGGGGAGGGAATGGTGTAACCGCAGACTGACAGGAACGTTAAATGGGAGGTCAAAATGTTCTTCCCCAGCAAAATAGCCTCCGGAGCTCCCCACAGGCTGGGGGCAGACCATTTTGGGGAAACCGCAATTGAATATATATTAGTGAAAAATTCGCAATATTTGCTAAAAGAAAGGTATTCACAACAACTGTAGATGCCTTACGGAGATATGTGAGGTCTTCCATTTCCTCTTTTAATTGTCTTCATGATTGTATATTAAGATTTCTGAACAACGTACGGGAAACGAAGAAAAGTCTGACACTTATTAAAAGGCTGACAAACCCACCAGCCTGTGTTTGGTATCCACGTCGTGAGAGATGACGACTCTGTCAGCGTGCCCCTCCTCCAGCACCTGTCGTATCATGCGGATCCGCATGGCGTCGTTCGGCATGTCTATGTCCTGCCACTGGGTGTGGGAAACCTCCAGGCCGAAGAAGTCCCACTCCAGGTAGCAGCCCAGAGAGGCGAACTCGAGAACGTCCTCCGGCTCGAAAAACGTACCTGTGATTTGGGGGCGCGTAATTAGACTTTAACAGAAAGCATGCAGACCATGAGTCATGGACACTGCAAGCAGAGGTTGATTGGAAAGATTGCAACCTTCTTCCGACTGGCCCATCCAACCGGTATTGAGCAAAATCCTTGAGCTGCTACATACGCGAGAGGTCAGGTGTATAGGGCTAGGGTTAGAGTTAGGGTGTTAGGGTTACCGGTTGGGATCATTGTTCAGGGCTAGGGTTAGACTTACGATTGGTGCTTCCTGAAGTAGATAAGGATTTATGCTATAGATAGTAGAAGGCGTGAACTTACGGTCAATGTGTGACATCACTGTTGCGCTGATGTCACCACCAGCTTCCTGCAGTATCCGGACGATCTCACAGGGGGCGTCTTTGTGTCCTCCAGGGTGAATGATGACAGGACAACCTGTCTCACTCTGTGCCGCAGCCGTGGCCTGCAGAACTTTCCTTTCATTGTCTAAACAATAACAAAAACATGAAATAGATACGAAACTTTTTTTCGGGGAAGGCTTAACACTTACCTCTGTTACACGTAGGATATGTTTTGTTTGTTTGTTTGTTTGTTTGTTTACTCCTTTACTTAACAACAAATATACACAAGAAATTATGAACGCATTTTTATACCTTGGTTATGTCGGGCAGTTTTAGCCTAAGATGGAAACGGTTGTGTATAGGTTCATCTTTGTGGCCTCAAAAAGTCTTAATTGTTCCTAGAAGTTTGCTGAACCATTCCAAACGGTCTCCCATAACAGCATGCATATCGCTGTAAAATATCGATATAAATATAGTATAATGCAATAAAGTTTCTTACCGGTGAGCGGCCAAGAACAGCCGATCTCCCCGATCACCCCGCACCTGACGTCAGTCCCATCGGCCCCCTGGGTGATGTCGCGGACCAGGGTAGACACCAGTTGCTCCTGTGTAAGGCTGTCCATGTTGGAGGGGTGGGTGTTTGCCGTGTAGTAACCTACAAATGAACATTGTGGTACAGCTATATGATATTTTTGCACCCCAATGTGCTCTTGATTACCTTTGTAACATTCTTACCGTCGCAAAGGTTATGCTTTCACCAGCTGGCTTTCATTGGTGTGTGTGCGTGCGTGTCTGTGTGTGTGTCTGTGTGTATGTATCTGTTTGTGCGTGTCTGTGTGTTTCTCTCTATGTGTCTGTGTGTAATAATGAAAGAATTCTTACATAGCACTCTGTCATAGGATAAGACTGTCATTAGGTGCAGAATATGATCAACTGACATGATTCATGCAAATGAGGATCTTGTTTTCATAATTAATGAATCTCATTTATAATTCGTCGACATTCGTCAAGTTTAACAACATTTGGCGAAGGTACGTATGAGATCGTGGATCTCTAGTTTTCAATTCTTTGATGATATCATGACGTTACATGCACACGTCGAGATCCCTTCTTTCGCTTGGTGTAAAAAAAGTGTTTTTTTTTTAAAGAATTTATACACTCTTTACCTGCTCCACAGATAACATTCACTCCAGTTTCCATGGAGATCTGCTTCAGTTTTCCAACATCTCTGCTCAGCCCGAGGGTGGTGCATTCAACAATGGAAGAGCCTCCGTTCTGTCTGTAGAACTTCAGCTCTTCCACCATGTGGTTCTCCTCCCCATGAAGATTCAGGTTCTCTGAGAAACTGTACCTTGAGTAGAATACAATGAAGGATAACGTTGAAGAATAAAAAAATGGCTCAATTGAACAATATACAGGATTACGACAGTGATAGTTGCCCCATTTTGATTATCCCAAACCGTATCAAATGGCAAAATTGTGTTGTCCAAATAGCAGACCAGCTACCATTAAAGTTCCAAAGGAAGGGGGTAGACTTCCATTGAACCAAGGAGCTTTCATCATGAAAGCTCCTTGATTGAACCAATACTTTATTCCTTTTCTGGGCAGAAAAACCTACGGATACTGTCTGATGAACCCCAGATTCTCCATGCTGAAGGACAGCGTATCCGGGCGAGGTGCATGCTGGGACGGTTTAGCCCGGAAACAGGAGAAGTCTGCCACCAGGTGTTCATGTGTCAAGGTTTTACCCAGAATGCCCGGGTCAATCCAACCGCACACTGGAATTAATGCAACATGGGTATAGTTTCCTTTAAAACGGTTGCCATAGAAACATGACAGTTTACTTTCCGAAGCCCTGAAATGAATATATAGGCCCCTATACCGACAGTGATTTTGACGTTAGTTAGACTTGTTAAGTAATACTCGAGTTATGATGCTTTATTTTCTATCTTGGGTATTTTTGCCTAATTTGCAAACATTTGCATACAGGCCCATGGAACCAATTTGTGCCAACTGGACCTTACCACACCGTACCTTGTTAGGTGACAGAGAGTTTGCAAAGTGTTAGTTTTCATCAAGTTTTTCAGATAGAATCGTAGCTTTCCAAAATTGCTTATACGTACGTGATGACGATGGTAATGATTGGTTTATTGGGTGAAATTCAACACAATCTGACATAGCAGTCAGTCTGCAGACTGAATTAGCGTCAGACTTTACAGAAGCTATTAATTAAATGGACAAAATCTCACACGTCTAGTACAAGCGGCCACTACTGAGTTAGCATGAAATGTAAACACAAAATGTTCTCACTCATGCCTGTATCTCTATCGATCAAACAGTAAATGTACTTGCAGTAAATGCCCAGCACGGTACATGCACTTACCTGTCTGTATTTTCCCTTTCATGTTTTAGGCACACCAGACTGTAAGTCAAAGTAAGTCTGACTATAGTCCAAACACTGATCGTATTACATAATGAACAAACCAAGGGCAAGGGTTATTCCGCAAAATCAAAGGTTGATGACTTGTGAATTGTTAACTTGGGTGTAAACATGGCTTCTGGGTTAATGGGACAGGAATGACAGGTATGTTCTAAATGTTTAATGTATCGTCAATCTTTTCGTACAAGCACTGGTCGCTAAAATTTCATCATTGTTGCAAGCTGCCAGAGCGTTATGATATCTACATTCTAGCACACAGAAAAGATCAAAGATAGTTTGCCCGAAGTGATAAGTACACAACGTGTAAACATTTGTTTTAAAAGGTAACATTAGTGCGATATATACAGACTGTCCCAAAATATGACTACACAAGTGAACACAAAGATGGCCGTAAACACACTGTTCACACATACAACGCCTGTCATTAATCTTACAACAAGATTACTCTCATCAAGCGAAGAGCCAAGGAGATTACATGAAAGAACGCAATCAAATAGAACGTCTAAGCTGTCGCTCTAAAACTAGCCACCCGACTACAATGTAGAATTATAATTATAATCGACATAAAGGTGAGATGAAAATGTTATAAAAGAAATAATTGATGTGATCTTTTTAGAAACAGGTTTAATCGGTGTGACAGAGCTTACTGACTTGACAATATTTGAGAGTACACAAGTCAGACCAAAGGTCGGCCTCAACAGCACTGAACACAGGCGCAAGGCCACCGAGTTTTTGTTGAAGTCTAACGTTATATTGTTTTGTAACCCATCAAAACTATTATATATATATATATAATAGTTATATATATATAATAGTTATATATATATATATATATCATCATATGCCAACAATTGGTACTCGGAATGTGACAGACTATCTTAAATTCTCTGTTACTCGTTTCGACTGCTAATGTGATCATTTCAACTTAAGGGTGACACATCTTAATACTGTTCAAGGTTGCTCTACTTAAAGGCGAGCCATCGTTTGGGATTCTCTATGAGAATCTTGTTGATGTCTTCTTCAGATATCCCTCTGTTTCTCATCTTGGGTACAACATTCAGTAGGATGTGGGAGTAGCCGTGGCCGCCGTAGTGCATCTAGAAACAAGAAGCAATCTTCGTCATTTTCTCTTCCAACTCAGTGATTCGCTAGTAATAGTAATATAACATCCTTTGTTGCTACCGTGTACAGAGGTTTTGTTTATTGTCTAACTCCATTAGTGACAGTACATATATGTACATGACTTCACAAATGTTTTCAATGTGTTTGTCTGTCTGTTTGTTTGCTTGTTTGTTTGTTTGTCCACAGTAATTGGATGCAGTAGAATAACAAGAAGTGAGGAGGAAGGGAATGGTGTAACCGCAGACTGACAGGAAGGTTAAATGGGAGGTCAAAATGGTCTCCCCACAGGCTGGGGGCAGACCATTTTGGGGAAACCGCAATTGAATATACCGGGAATTATATTACTGAAAAATTCACAATATTTGCTAAAACAAAGGTATTCACAACATCTGTAGATACCGTACGGAGGTGTGAGATCTTCGATTTCTTCTTGTAATTGTCTTCATGATTGTAATTTGACAACGCAGATCAATCAATACTACCCCATAGATCTTCTTCTGTCACCGCTATAGTTTACCAATGTACGGGAAATGAAGAAAAGTCTGACACGGAAAAGGCTGACAAACCCACCAGCCTGTGTTTGGTATCCACGTCGTGAGAGATGACGACTCTGTCAGCGTGCCCCTCCTCCAGCACCTGTCGTATCATGCGGATCCGCATGGCGTCGTTCGGCATGTCTATGTCCTGCCACTGGGTGTGGGAAACCTCCAGGCCGAAGAAGTCCCACTCCAGGTAGCAGCCCAGAGAGGCGAACTCGAGAACGTCCTCCGGCTCGAAAAACGTACCTGTGATTTGGATTTGGGGCAATTAGACTTTTTAACAGAAAGCATTGCCTGGAGTCCAGCTTTGTTAGCTTCGGTCCGCTAAATCTAACGAGGCTGGACTCCGAGCATTGGCAGAAAGCAGGCACATGAGGCATCCACACAACACCATTCTATTAAGCAGAGATTGGTTGGGGAGATTGCGACCTTCCTCTGACTGGCCCATCCGACCGGCAGAAAACGGGGCTCGTCAGATGACTAAAGTTCGTGGTTCTAAACTCTACCGGGAGAGTAGACCAATTAATTCAGCTGTTCTTTTTTTTCGGTAACTTACTGTCAATGTGTGACATCACTGTTGCGCTGATGTCACCACCAGCTTCCTGCAGTATCCGGACGATCTCAAAGGGGGCGTCTGTGTGTCCTCCAGGGTGAATGATGACAGGACAACCTGTCTCACTGTGCCGCAGCCGTGGCCTGCAGAACTTTCCTTTCATTGTCTAAACAATAAAAAAAAAGGAATGGATACTTAGTAAGAAACCCTTTGCTACACAAGTTTTTCTTGTTTGCTTGTTATTTGTTTACTCCTTTACTTAGAAACAAGAAATTATGAGCGTACTTAGTATAATGCAATATAGTTTCTTACCGGTGAGCGGCCAAGAACAGCCGATCTCCCCGATCACCCCGCACCTGACGTCAGTCCCATCGGCCCCCTGGGTGATGTCGCGGACCAGGGTAGACACCAGCTGTTCCTGTGTAAGCCTGTCCATGTCGGAGGGGTGGGTGTTCGCCGTGTAGTAACCTGCGTATTAAATTGTAGTGAAGACATAGAATATCTTTTTTCATCCCAATGTGATATTGACCTCTCTCACTCCCTTTCTCTTTCTTTCTTTCTCTCTCTGTCTGTGAGTTTCTGTTTGTAATATTGAGGAAGTTCTTAAATAACCCTCTATCATAGGATAAGACCTCATTAGGTGGAGAATATGATCAACTGTTATAATTCATGCAAATGAGGATCTCGTTTCAATAATCAATGATAATTTGTCGGCATTCGTAAAGTTTAACATCATTTGGCGAAGATTTCATAATATAATGTTACATGTCGGAGTCTGTCCCTTCTTTGGCTTCGTGCGAAAATTTTAAAAAGGGGTTTTGTTTTTCTAGAATTACATTCCTTACCTGCTCCACAGATAACATTCACTCCTGTTTCCATGGAGATCTGCTTCAGTTTTCCAACATCTCTGCTCAGCCCGAGGGTGGTGCATTCAACGATGGAAGAGCCTCCGTTCTGTTTGAAGAACTTCAGCTCTTCCACCATGTGGTTCTCCTCCTCATGTAGAAGCATGTTCTCTGAGAAACTGTACCTTGAGTAGAATACAATGAAGGTTAACGTTGCAGAATTAAAAAAACTGGCTGAATTGAACAATAGACAGGACTACTACAATAATAATTGCCCCATTTGGATTAACCCAAATCGTATCAAATGGCAAAATTGTGTTGTCCAAACAACAGACCAGCTACCATTGAAGTTTCAAAGGAAGGGGGTAGACTTCCATTAAACCAATACTTTATTCCTTTTCTGGGCAGAAATTTGACTTTTTTTCCCGTGTCAGTCTGAAGCTAATAGTACTGTTTATTATTTCATTTTTCAGATTTGCTTCCCTTGTCAAGCGTACCGCATTTTTCATTAATAATGCCCATCCACACTCTTCAATCTAAATTCTTCCTCGCTCATCAAAAATGAAAAACCTACGGATACTGTCTGATGAACCCCAGATTCTCCACGGTGAAGGAAAGCGTTTCCGGGCGAGGTGCATGCTGGGGCGGGTCGGACCGGAAACAGGAGAAGTCTGCCACCAGGTGTTCATGTGTCAGGGTCTTACCCAGAATGCCCGGGTCAATCCAACCGCACACTGGAATTAATGCAACATGGGTATAGTTTCCTTAGAAACGGTTGCCATTAGAGCTGTGTACCGGTACGCAGTACCGATACTGTACCGGAAAAATTGATTAGGTACAGGTCCAAAATACCTAATCCCTCAGTACCGGTACTGTACCTAAACAATTTCACACCAATTTTATGCCTATTTGTGACCTCAAATGTTTAAATAGCTGGTTAACAACGGGTGCCTGTGTAAGGACAGTGTGTTCATGAAAACAAAAACATCTTAGTTTTGCCTATATTTTATCTGAGCATTCGCCATAAACAAAGAATAAACCTTAACTATCAAGTTTATTTATGTTTTTTTGTTATTGAAGGAGTTCAGAAGAGCATATAAATTGGTCGAATTGTTCAGGTACAGGTTCAGGTCCGGACCTGTACCTAAACCTGTGTACCTGTACCTGTACCTAAAATTTGTTTAGGTACACAGCTCTAGTTGCCATAGAAACATGATAGTTTACTTTCCGAAGCCCTGAAAGGAATACTAGTATATAGGCCCCTATACTCGAGTTATGATGCTTTATTTTCTATCTATATTTTGCCTAATTTGCATACATTTGCATACAGGCCCATGGAACCAATTTGTGCCAACTGGACCTTACCACACCGTACCTTGTTAGGTGACAGAGAGTTTGCAAAGTGTTAGTTTTCATCATGTTTTCCAGATAGAATCGTAGCTTTCCAAAATTGCTTATACGTACGTGATGACGATGATAATGATTGGTTTATTGGGTGAAATTCAACACAATCTGACATAGCAGTCAGCAGACTGAATTAGCGTCAGACTTTACAGAAGTTATTATCAAGACCAATTAAATGGATAAAATCTCATACGTCTAGTACAAGCAGCCACTACTGAGTTAGCATGAAATGTAAACACAAAAGCGTCTCACTCATGCAGCTCTCTTTATCAGTGAGTAAATATACTTGCAGTAAATATCCAGCACGGCACTTGCACTTACCTGTCTGAATTTTCCCTTTCATGTTTTAGACACACCAGTCTGACTGTAAGTCAAAGTAAGTAAGTAAGTAAGTCTGAACATACAATGATGATATGACATAATGAGCAAACAAAGGGCGATGGTTTTTCCGCAAAATCAAATGTTGATGACTTGTGAATTGTTAATGTAAGGGGTTGAAAAGGTCACTTTATGTACAAACATTATGAACAAAAGTCAGACAAGTCAAGACAACATTGTCTTGTCTTGACTTGCCTGACTTTTAAATTTGTTCCTCAACAAAAGTCAGACTAGACAACATTATCTTGTATTCACTTGTCTGACTTTTGTTCCTTTTTCGACTTCCAAAAATTTGTCTTCACTTCACGACGTATTTAGCACCTATATGACATGTCCTTGATGTAGAAGGGACCAAAGCATCGAATTTGTATTGACCAGATTATCATACTGGTCACAAAAACTCCAATAGCCGGTCTTTCTGTGTGTGGTAGGATTTGGACAGTTACGATTACGGTTACAGTTACAGATCTTACGGTACCTTATTCTCTCACTCTAAGGAACTAGTTACTAGACTCCCAGTCTAAGTAACGCCAAAGCCTGGTCGATTTATATTTGATGTGACTTTTATGGTACTAAGCAAAGGAAGATACAACGGATCTATAGTTACAGAGTTAAGAACAATACTAAAGTAGACAAAGACAATGGAAGCAAGTGTACCTGTACAGAAGATGTGACGGAAACTACTAAACTAACCTTGGTAGTGGAACGGACGGCAGGAAACAGAGCGGTGAAGAGCAGTAGAGAGATTTCCGGGTGCGTCCCGCTATTAAATACCATACGCGGAAGGCGGGGCGACATCTGCTTGGCGGAGGCGTGGTCAGGCTTTGGCCAATGACGCGACGTGTTCTCACCACGTGACCCAAGACCGTCTAAACTCAGTGATTGGCCTGTTGCACCATACCCCGCCACACGTAATGATGCTCCCGAATCATTAACTT